CCCCGCGATGCGCCCCCTCGGCCGTGCCCTTCCGCGGTGGGTCCAGCTCCAGGGTGAAAGTTTTATGGCTCTGCTCTCACGGAGCTGTAGATGCCGAGGGGTCAGAGGTCGGCGCCGAATTAATCATTGCCCGGGTCCTTCGTATTGAAACAGCTCTCGACCCCTCGTGGCTTCACGATGTGTACTTTGTCCCGACTCACGGGGGGTGGGGGGGGCGTCTACACCGCTGAGAAAAGCGGTCGCAGGCCGTCTCTGGCTGCTCCTGTTGGCAGAGGTGAGGTGGCTTTGAAAATTGAGAGAAATTTCATTGTAATAGTGTCCTTGTTTCCTTTTTGTATAGGCTACTGGCTGAGCACTATTAGCGCCAAAGATACTCTCTCCCGTATTTTGTACGCGTGGTCAGAACGGACATATTCTCAAACTCTGAGATCCCCTCCCCTTTCACGTTCTCCGCTGCTGCTGTGGAGGAAACGCACATCACAAAAGAATCGACGTTCCACACACGACCGACATGCATTCCTGGAATTGCTTTGCTCTACTGTCACATCAATTTTTTTTTCTGGCTCGCGGCTTTTACACAAAGAAGACAACTGCTGACCTGGGAGCCGGGGACGCGCTCGGGGCTCACTGAGGAAATAGCCGACTCGGTCCGAATCCAAAGCCAACTTCAAAGGCAAGCCTGGCGTGGGTGGACGAGAGCCCCCCCTCCCCCTCCTCTTCTCCCCACATCCACCATTAAGGGGTGGTTTGAAGGAAGATTTTTTTGTTGGTGATGTGAAAGGGACGGTGCTGCGTTCGAAGTTCACCCCGATAAAGACCATTCTTGAAACAACAAAATGTTTGCGTCCTCCACAGGAAAATAATTTTGTCTTTAAATAACGCACGAACATTCGTCATCGTGTTGTAAATAGCATCGCCTTAAAATCAACTTAATTGACTGGGTAGGGGTACTCCAGACCGCGTCTCACGTAAAAAGCTTCGTGAAATCTCGTGAAACACCGTTGGGCTGCAAACGCGCCTGGCGCATAAGTACAATGGAGTAAAAAGTTCATTCACTGTCGCTCAGCCAATTAAAGAAAGCTGTCAATTTTTCGTGTAAAAAAGAGGTTTTGGCCACGATCATACTACTCTTGTCCCTATCCGGCGCTTCCAGCTCCATGGACCGCCCAGCACGCAGGCAGACCCATGGA